GTGTGTCTGTGTCTGTGTCTGTGTGTGTGTGTCTGTGTCTGTGTGTCTGTGTGTGTGTCTGTGTGTGTGTCTGTGTGTGTGTGTGTCTGTTTTCCCTTTTTATAAGACACCGCTCAGAAGGGATGAAATTTAGGATCCACCCCACTCTGGTATGACTTCATTAATAGGACGAAAGAAAACCCCTGATTTCCAAACAAGGCCACATTCACAGGTACGTTGTTGTTGTGTGCTGTTGATTCTGACTCGTAGCGACCCCACAGGACAGAGCAGAACTGCCCCATAGGTTCCCTAGGCTGTAATCCTTACAGGAGCAGATTGCCTGATCATTTCTTCAATGGAGCTGCTGTGTGGGTTCAAACCACCGACCATTCGGTTAGCAGCTGAGTGCTTCACCACTGTGCTACCAGGGCTCCTTTCACTGGTAGAGGGGTTAGTATTTCAACATATGGTTTGTTTTTAGGAGGGTGACGCAATTCATTCCGGAGCAGCTATGTTTCTAAAAGTTGGTTGTATTATCGTTTGATTTACTAATCCTCTGAATTAGTCTCGAGGAGCCCTGGTGGCGTAGTGATTAAAGCATTCGGCTGCTGACCAAAAGGTCGGCCGTTTGAACCCACTAACCGCTCCACAGGAGAAAGATGTGGCAGTCTGCTTCTGTACAGATGACAGCCTTGGCAACCCCCAGTGGAAGCTCTACTCTGTCCTATAGGGTCGTGATGTGTTGGAAGCAACTCGATGGCTGTGGGTTTGGTGGGTGGAATTAGTCTTTGGCCACTGAGAGGACACAGTGTGCTTCGAAGGATGTACGTGACTTTATACTCAGAAGGCGTTCGTTGCACACCTCCTACGGCCAGGGATATGGCAGCGAGCGGGCAGGTGTGGCCCCGTGCTCCTGGAGCTCGCCGTCTCGGAGATCCGTGAATAGATGGGTGACGGCATGATCAGTACCTGGGCAGGACAATACAGGATACTATGGGATCACCTGGGGGATCCCAGAGGCCGGGGGTCCCCTGCCGGGAGGGTGTGAAGTCCAAGCTGAGACTTTGGGAGTGAATAGGAGAGTGCTGAGCGTGGGGGAGGTGGGCTGAGGCTCGCTGGAGGAACAGGGGGCCGGTGTGGCTGGAGTGGCGGGCATGGGGGCGTGAGGGGAGGGCAGAGGGGAGCTGGCAGGGATGGCGGTCAGGGAAATTGGGGGGACAGGCAGGCCTGTGGACGTGGTGGGGGGTTTGTCTCCCATGAGCATGGAGTGAGGGGGGTCACAGGAGGGCCCTGGGAGGCCCCTCTGGCTACAGGGCACAGAGCGGTGGGAGACAGGAGATCAGCGCCCGGGAGGCCTGGAGGAAGCCAGCGCTCGGACCAGGGTGGCACCAGCGGGGGTAGTGGGAGGGAACAGATTGGCAGGGGCCTGGGGGAACCGGAGTTGGCCACTACTGGAGATTGGGGCAGAGGAAGACTCCAGGATGAAGGCCAGCCTTCCAGCTTCAGCAGCTGGGGGCGGCGTGGGAGTGCTCTCATTGGTTTAGTGTCCTTGGGACGGAGTGGATTTCGTAGGAGACTGGAGAGCCTGCGCTGGATGTGTGGGTGTGGGCAGCCCCAGGGGCATTCTAGTGCTTCCCTGTCTGGGGCTCTAGAGAGCAGCTGGGCTGGGAATAAGATCTGGGGGCAATCTGTGACTGGCTGACGGCAGACCCCACAGAAGCGGATGCGGCAGGCATTACCGTGGGCTGGCCCTGCCATTTCCTAGCTCAGTGACTTTGGACAAGCTGCTTTCCCTCCCTGCCCTCAGTCTCCACATCTGTAGCAAGGGGAGTTTGGGTTGGTCAGCGGGAGAATTCTCCCCTTCCGTGCGGGAGACCCAGGCTCAATTCCCGGCCAGTGCGGCTCATGTGCAGCCACCTGTCAGTGGAGGCTGGCAAGTTGCTTCGATGCTGGACAGGTTTCAGCAGAGCTTCCAGACTAAGATGGACTAGGAAGAAAGGCTTGGCAATCTACTTCCAAAAATCAGGTGGTGTAAACTGTGGAGCCCAGTGGTCTGATCCCCTGTGTACGGGGTCGCCATGAGTTGGGGGCTGACCCAATGGCAGCTAACAACCAAAACCAGAAAACCAAACCTGTTGCCGACGGGTCGATGCCAACTCACAGCGACCCTGTAGGACAGAGTGGAACTGCCCCAGAGGGTCTCCAAGGCTGGAATCTTTATGGAAGCAGACTGCCACATCTTTCTCCTGCGGAGCGGCTGGTGGCTTAGAACCACTGACTTTTCGGTTAGCAGCCAAGTGTTTAACCATGGTGCCACCAGGCTCCTTACAATAACAACAGGTAATTCCTGGTGAATCCTAAAGACTGCTCTGGGACTAGCCACTTAGCGCCCCAGCTGGGTTTGGGTCTGAAAATCTAAGCAGGACAGGCAGCTGGGCTGGCGATCCCTGTGCTTTGCAGAGGACACGCAAGGGGGCTGCTGCTATTTTGATGCAGCATTGTCGTGGGAGCCGATCTTGAAAGGTACCTGAGGGGAAGGTGCGTCTCCGAGGTGAGGAATGTGTCCAGCAGGGGCTTGGAAAGATCTAGGGAGAAGCGTGAAAGGGAGACATCACTCAGGAGCTGGGGAGGCGTTCAGGAGCATGGTCAAAGCTGGGGGACTGCCCACCGGGGGCTGGCGTGGCCTTGATGTGGCCTCTCCGGTGTGGAGAAAGCCACTGCTTGGTCTTTGTCACCAGAGATTGGAAGCAAAATGTGGGCTGGGTGCAGCCATGAGCATCTGTAACTTCCTGTCCCCCACCTCAACCCAGGATGGGAGCAGGGACTACCCACTGGTGTGGGCTACTGAGCCTGCCCCACCCCACCACCACATCTAGGCAGTGCCTGGAGCTACCCAGGACCCCCACTGTGTGATGGGACAGAGTGGCATCTTTGACGTGGGATCACATCCCGGCTCTGCCACTTACTAGCTGTGTGGCCTTGGGCAAATCACTTAACCTCTCTGTGCTCTGTTTCCTCAGCTGACAAATGGGGGCCCGAAGAATGTCCCCAGTGAATGGCTGCTGTGAGCCTCAGGGCCTGGAGCTTGCCCAGCGGCTCAGTTATCATAAATGAATTAGAATCCTTATCCTTCAACCCCATGAATCCACACGTGGGGTTGGAGCCCACACAGCTAGTGAGTGATCGGTCCAGGAGCTGAGCTCACGTCTGTCTGGCTTCAAAGGCCCACACTTCCTTCTTCTCGTCCTATTTCAGCCAGTCACAGCCTGCGGTTTCCCCGGTGGCTGCGTGCCCACCTTCTAATGCTGTGCGTGGCTGTGTGATGACCCCGGCTTCCCAGATTAGCTCACAGGTCTGTTTCCCCATGCGTTTGTAGGCATCTGCGAGAGGCCTGGACCGTGCCTGAAATTAGCCTCAGAAGCCGTGGAGTCAGAGACCAGTGCCAGCTGCTGGGAAGACAGGAGCCTGGAGCCTCCCCGGGAGGCAGTTGCCTTGGAGACGAAGCCTGAGGAAGACGAGCTCCTGGCCCACCTGCGCCTCAGCATCCTGCCGTGGGATGAGCGCATTCTGGAGACGGTCTCCTCCAAGCTCTTAACAGGTACCGCCCCTCGGGGGTAGAGAGGTGCCGGGGAGCTGGCATGGTTTCCTAGGGCTTCCTAATACCACACACGGAATGTATTGTCTCAGTTCTGGAGGCTGGCACTCCAAATTCAGGGTGTCCGCAGGGCTGTGCTCTCTCCAAAGGCTCGAAGGGAACATCTTTCCCGGTCTTTTCCAGCTTCTGGTGGCGTGGCCTGGGGCCTGTGGCCGCGTGGCTCCAGGGTCTGCCTCCGGCTTCACTGACCGCCCTCCTCAGGGTCTCTCTGTCTTTTCTCCTCTTCTGTAAGGATACCACTCAGATGGGATTAGGACCCCCCACTCCACGATGACCTCATGTTAACTGAATTAATTACATCTGCAAAGACCCTATTTGCAAGTAAGAGCACCTTCACAGGTACTGGGGTTAGGACTTGAACGTATCTTTTTCGGGGATGCAAATCAACCCATGTTTTCTGTGAATGTGTGGAAGAGTTAAAGGGCTTCTTGCCTTGTGTGTTATGCTGCCAGGTGGGAAGAGGTGGGCAAGCGACCTGGCACAGGCCAGGTGCCCGGCCACTACCTCCCACCCGGCACAGGCCAGGTCCCCGGCCACCAACTCGCACCCGGCACAGGCCAGGTCCCGGGCCGCCACCTCCCACCCGGCACAGGCCAGGTCCCCGGCCGCCAACGCCCACCCGGCACAGGCCAGGTCCCGGGCCGCCACCTCCCACCCGGCACAGGCCAGGTCCCGGGCCGCCACCTCCCACGCGGCACAGGCCAGGTCCCCGGCC